GTGCCAATCGTGTGGGACAGCGTGTGAACCGGTCTGACCCCATGGCTGGAATGGGAGCTGTGCTGGCAAGCTCCCCTCTAACCTTCATATCTGGGATACTGCAAACCCTGCAAACAGGGCTTAAATGAAGGTTATTGGGGCACTCAGCAGCACTCTGGTAGACAATGGTTTTTTTTTTTCACAAGGAGACACCTTTGATGGATATGGGAGCCTTAGGCAGCTTTCTTCAATGCATCTGGCTGCCCAATGAGCGAAGGTGAAAGAGGAGCCAAGCCTCAGTGCTAGGATTAGCTCTTTGTTTCTAGGTCTTTAGACCTAGAAATCTATCACCTTCCAGCACGTGATAGACTGGACTGTGCTGCCTTTTCCACGACGGAGTTACCTGCTTTATTAAAGCCTCACCTTTGCATCAGCACCATTGATAGGCATCTGGCTGGTTGAGAGCCCATCCAGCCCCTCTCACGGTCACCAGGACCTCTCCTTTCCTTCCCGTGGCCTCATGGTCCTGCGCTCATTCTCTGCAGGTTTAAGGCTCCAAACCTGCTCTCCCTTTTTGTCCTTCTCTAAAAACAAGGTCCTATCCCCAAATCCATTTGCTCTTGTGCTGCCAAACTATGCTGGCAGAAATCCTGCAGCAGGCTGATTTCCTTAATTATGATTATTGTCTTCCCCATTCTGCCATCTGCCTAACTAAACAACAGTCTCCCAGCTGTCTTTTAATTCCCTGACCATCATTCGTCAAGCTTGCATCTCCTTTCTCTGCCCAACATCTTGCTGCTTTTCTCTTTTTGAAAAGGGACAAGGTGCTATTCTCCCGACTTGCTGTCCCATGTCCCACCACAACTCTGTCCTCCTCCTTTGCTGCTGTGGATGCAAAATATTCTCACCTGGTCTCTTCTAACCCATCTTGATGGCCCCTGTTAACATATATCTTGTCTATAATCTGTATCTTCCTTTAACCTTTTGCTTAATTTCTTGCTCTCTCTTAGATCTTACCCTTCACCAGGTGAACATATTTTAATCTCCTCAGTCACAGAGAGATTCCACCTTCCCCAACTGCTACCCTTTTCTTCTCTCTTCTTACCACTGATACTATTTATTGTATTGAAAGCTGTTGGGATTTCTTGTCTTCCAGCATCATCAACTCATGATTTAAGGTGAGAGGGACTTGCAGAGGGTATCTAATACAACACCGTGCTCAAAGAGAGTCTAATTAGAGCAGGTCGCTCAGGGCCATGTCCAAATGTATGTCCATGCATTACCCTGAAGGCATGGATTATTTTTTTTTTTTCTTCTTCTTTTTTCCTTTCTTCAGCTTCTGGTCTATCAACTCAACTGTTGGTCTTTTAGTGAAGCCACTCTTAAGCATTCATAAAAAACCCAGGACCAGCAGTCCATTTTTGTCCTTTTAGAGTTGTCATTGAAATTCAGAGCTGCCAACTATGGCCTTCTCTTGGCATCTCTGACTTTCTTCTTCTTATATGTGTTGGAAAAGCTGTGTCTGTTCTTCAGCTTCTGTGCAGGGATTCGCAGGGGTTGTTTCCTACTTCGTGTCTTTTTCCTCTCTTCACTGTAACTTCAGCTCATTATCTCTGTCCTGATGTCTCATAGCTCATTTCTGGACTTGTCTCCTCCAAACAGGAATCTCAGCCATTTCTTTGATACCTCCTAGAGACGACTGGCTGCCAGTGTGCTTCCAATAAATTATGCAGACTTCCTTCATGCACAGTAGTGCATGTCTCCAAGGCCCATGTCATCTTCAGGCTTTCCTCTGAAACCCCACCTCCATGCTAGGTCAAATCTGGCAAGTTCTCTCCCTCTTATTTGGGTCCTGACGCCTCTGCTGTCTTGCCTCAAACATCAACTCTTCGTCTTTGCTTTCATGACTTACCCCCATCCAACCTTTTCCCGTAGTCACTAGTGATTTTGGCATCTAATGGTCATTTATTACACTTGTCTGAAAAGTATCTTTCTGCTTCTTCCTGATGCCCTCCAACCTGGGAGAAGTTCCCTATAAAGACCCACAAAGGTTGCCAGGTTTCAGTCTGCCTTCGAGCTCATCTTTACTACTATGTGTGTGAAGTTATTTCCCAGGAATAGAGTCCTAGCGATGTGGTAAGAGCACCTCTTGCCATTCTGAGCTGTTTTATACAGCTTTCTTCTATATATTTTCTTCTATTCCTCACTAGCCACCCACTTTCTCTTGGCCTTGAACTGGAATGTAGATTTTGGTGCCAAAGTAATAAATTGTTCCTGCTGTAATTAGGAAATATACAGGTCTTCACCACTAGACCCTATAGAAAATGCTAATTTGCTGATGATAAATATATTTCCTATATTTATTTCAGCAAATATGTATTTGTTACCGAGGTCTCCGCAGGCTTTTGCTGTTTGAAGTCCAGAGTGATTGTGGCCAGTTTGCAGATGGAAATGATGCTCTCGGGAGTTACACCATCAGTGCAATGCAAATCATCCCAAGTCCAACAGTATGAGAGGGGAAATGTTGAGCTGCATGCGTTGGATTAAACGCAGCCATTTTCAGAGGTTTAATTGTGTTTATATTCAATAAAAAGGGAAAAATCTCATTTATAAGTGCTAAGGCTGTGGCCAACCTTCATCTCAATTTAATCTTAGGTTTGTTCAGGCTGAAACAAGTGTTACAGGTTTATATGGCAGAACTTCCCTAATGAAGCAATTTCACTCTGACTGCTAAAGGGGCTGGCAGAGATTTAAATTCATATAATTTTTATATTACTATCAAATTCAATTTTTTTCCCTCACCCTCTGGACTTTGTAAAATCAAGTTCTTGATTCCTGAAGTCTAAAGCTATAAAACGCACATCTTTAAGGCACTTGCTAAATTCCATTATGTCCTCATTCATGTTATAATTAAATGAAAAAATGTTTTCAATTATAGAATTGAGAAGAAGCAGGAACATTTTAGAATAGTTTTTGCCATGATCTTATAAAGATGATAATGGCTATTACAGCAGGTTAATCATCATTTGTCCTAGGTGCTGTTTTATTTTCCCATTCTGTAGTGTAATTTTAGATATAAGATGTTTGGGAACTTTACAAAGAAGTTGTCTTAAACTGTGCAATAATGTGAGTCTTATACTTTTGTTTTCTTTCAAACAGAGACCACAAACTAGTGAAAAGAAAATAAACTTGGCAAGAGGGGCTCAGCATTTAGTAAGGAGAGAGGGATGATCGTTTTGTTGGCTTGACTTTGCTCTCTTGGGTCCAAATCCACTTTATATTTTCCTAGTGTTTATTTTTTTTTTAAATACTGCCTGTGCTGATGTCACAAAGAAGTTTTTTTAAACTTCTTCCAAATTAAGCCATCTATTCTCTTAGTTAACTTCAGTGTTGAGGTGACTAGACCAAGTCAACTCTGGGTGAAGAATCAGTAACATTAGCAATAGCCCAATGATAATCTAGCTAAAAATCTACAAAAGGCATTACTGTGAGGATACCCTTATTTTTAATTCTTATATGTCTTGTGCAATGCCTGAGTGACTTTTGCGCCATGCTGTGGTAGAGATGGTGACGTGAAATACATAGATGAGCTTGTTTTGGTCCTGGATTGTAACCTTCAAAATTATTTTTCATATTCTGCAGTTGAGTAGGTGGGGTCACATTTAACACAGGGGGAAAAAAAAAACAAACTGAAATTAAGTCAGGAAGAGGGAAACATGTGTAAAGTTCCTTGCCAAGGAATTGCTTTTATAGACTGAAGACATACGGTTCCTTCATGCCAAGCTGGTGTGCAACTCCAGTCTAGAGCCAGCTCCTCTACACACTTGATTGCAGAAGTGGTCAGGAGTGTCTTCTCATCTTGCGCTGACAGGACAGGATTTAAGCAAGGTAAAACTCAATGGAAATATTTGGAAGTTAAATGGAGCGGAGTGTATAAAGTCCATAAATAGCCTGCAGAAAGTGCGCACAAGCTTTTATGCAAAAGCTGTAGAGTAAATCTTTCTTCCGTCAAATAACTGGGAGGTAATATGTGTTACCCACTGCGTCTGCTGATGAAGGCTTCCCTGTGATTGTAATATCTTGACCTTGGACATTCTGAAATTTCCTCTGGTAATGGCTGAAACTTTGCAAAAAGAGATGGAATGAATTTTAAACACAATATTATTCTCTTCTGAAGCTAGGTATTTCCAACATCTTACATTACCATAGGTTAATGTAGTACTTTTAAAGTGAAGATGACTCTAGTTGTGATTTTCTCTCCTATCTTGCACCTGAAATCCTCATCTAAAATTCCCTTAGTGCTCTCTTCAAGCTTTATCTGAATATATCTGCCTTAAGGAAAACTGAGAGGCGGCATAAAAAGGCATTTGCTTCTTGTTATTCAGGTGACCTGGAGTTTGTACCATGGTTTTTAACAGTTCTCAGTGCCAGAGTCGAAGTGTGTTTTAGTCTAGAAAGTGACCCTTGTATTACATGATTCTTAAAAATTACTTGGATTTACTGGAGAGAGAGGGGAATCATGTAAGGAGATAAACAAAAATCAGATGAACGTTGGCTGAAAGGGAGCTCTGATGGTCTCTGCTCTGACCTTCTGCTTGAAGCAGGGCTGTCATAAATGCTGGAGCAAATTCATCATTGCCTTGTCCAGCTTAATCTTGAAAATCTCCAAGGATGGAGAGTTGGCCACCGGTCAACCTATTGCACTGCTGTAAGTTTTTCTTAAGTTTTCCGTCATGTCCAACTTGAACTTCCTAAATGACAACTTGTCGCTGCTGCTTTAAAAAAATTCCCAGGGAAAAAATAACAACAGAAGTAATTTAAACCAAACAGTCTGGCATTTAACAGGGATTATTGCAGCTATTTGCTTCAAAAAGCTATTGAGCTCAGTCTTTTATTGTAATGAAAATGGGAATATATCTAATCTGCATGGGTTTTGGGGGGGGTCCACAAGAGCAAAGGAGTTAATCCATATGCATCACAGTGTATTTTTTAATCTTGCATCATGTGTCCTTTCTGGACAGGTTCCTAGAGACTCAGAGAAAGATTTAAGTAATTCAGTGGTTTTGGAGAGATCTCTCTACCTAGGAGAGTTGAAGATCTTTTGAACACGGGAAGTCTGAGCCTTCTGTGCTATTGGTTTATTGCATTGATGCTACAAAGAAAGATTTAGATTTTAAACTAACCCCATCGTGTGTCCTTGAGCAAAGTCTGATGTGTTACGGATAAAGATATCGCCTCTCCAAGCAGGGCATCTCAGAGGAATGCAAGCTCATTTAGAAAATGTTTTATCATTTTAAAACTGTTCATGACAGGCTTGTAATAAACTATTGTAGTTAACCTTATAGTCTTATTTTTGCTTTTTTTTCCTTTTATGGCTTCAGAAGATATTTTTCTCATGTGGAGATTCTGGATTAAGGATAGGGAGAGCGGGGAAGGGAAGTATTTTAATTGTCAGGAGCTTTGATTTAGAAATGATACACTGACACTGTGACACTGTGTTCTTCCTGGCGCTCAGGAGAAGCATTGGACCGCTTCACAATTTGTGCGTCTTCATTTTCCATCCAGACTCAAGATATTACCAATACCCAAGGCTTGAAGAGAGATGAGTCAATCATGGGAAAAGCGACTTTATTTCAGAACCCTAAGCCTAGCAATTTTCACAAATTTTATTGCTGATACTCCCCAACAGCTACAGAAGTCCTCAGTTTACCTATGATTTTGGTGATAGTTTTGTCGGCAGTATTTGCATACTCAAATGGCTACGGTGTTTCCAAATTATTTGCACTTTATTGCCATACTTTCCAATATTATTTCATCTCCTTTGCTTTTCTAACTGAGGAGAATATTTGATTAAGTTCCCTCTCATTTCTAAAAACACAAGGGGAAAGCAGTCATGTTTATTTGAAAAACATTGCTTGTGCAAAAAAAAGCAAGCCACCACGTTCAGGGAATCAGTTGACATATGTGCCAGTAACCATATGGGAATCCAGCCGGCTGGATTTGTGTCCTTAAGAGCCCTGTGCCAACAAAGTGAGACTTGCCAGTCCCCAAACTCATTTGGGATGTTCATAGTCAGCTGGGTTATTTCTGTGCAGCGCTGCTCTGCCATGTAGGCAAACTTTTACATTTCGGATTTAGCTATGATAAAAAAAATACACTTTTCTCAGAAGTTTTTTTTTCATGAACAGCAGATCTAACTTAATAACGCGAGGTGTTAAAACTGTACCAAAGGATGGTATTTATTTATCTCGGTAGGCATAGTTTAGTGGATAAGGTTATGCATGATCAAATCCACTATACTGGATTTCATCATGGTCACCGGCATGTATTTTATCTCTTTGCTTTATTATGAGCATGAGATGAGATTTATGAGATTATGAGAATAATATGGTTTCTTGTGTTCACAGAGAGGAGCAGGAGCATGGTCTCATCCAATACTCAGACCACAAAATGAGCAGCCCAGTTGATAGGAATCATGCTATTGATGTGCACGCAGCTTAAAATGAAGGTGGCGTGTTTGATGGTAGGCTTTGATAAGGCTTTGCTAGAATTCATTTGCCAGTAGCATTGCAAACTTTTGCTAATTACTGCCCTGACTCTTTGCAAATGTTCCCTCCTGACATAATCTGTGGTGGTTTATGGCTTTTACATGGCACCATCTGCAGTGAGTCAGGACCTGCTGGGGAAGGATACATTCCAAGAGACATGGTTTAATTAGGGCACACTTCCATTAGTTTACTCATCTGTAATCAGGCAATAACTCATTGCTTGCAGGTCATGTCATCTTTTTTCAGTCCCCTTGCCGTTTCTAGTCCTAAGTGTCTCTTGCAGGAGCTGTAGGGACTAATGAGAGGCAGGTGTTGAACATGGGTTTCTCAGCTTCTCAAATAATCAGAGTGCACGAATGGGCTTCACTGAGGATGTATACATGGTATATATATGCTCAGCGAAGGCTGAGGGACCTCAGTTTTCTCCATGTCGTTCCTTGCCTGAGGAAATGCTGCTTATCCAATTTAGTTGTCCTTTCCCACCTCCCTGTTTTCCTTCTCTTCTCCATCCACTGGTAGGTTGTAAGCCCTCATGCCAGTTTTGTCCAATTTTGAACAGAAAAAATTAAGGTACAAGTACGTTCCTACACTAATCCCTAGAACAAATGCATTGGAAACAAGCTTTCATTGTTTTTGCAGATCATGAAGCAACATGTTTTCTTCCCCAGGTCCAGAAGAGCATACAGAGGTGATTGTTGATACTTTCAGTTTTGAGCTGTAGAGGCATCATGTGGCTTGTCCGTAGGTTACTTGTCTGTCCCAGTCATCTTCAGTAATATGGAACTGGAGAAGCAGATTTTGCATTGCTTGTCCAATTTTCATTTGAAAAATTAAAAGCTATTATTTGGTGCACGTCTTTTTCATGTCGTAGCCAGAACAAGAGAGGTGCAAGAGTTTGGTTTCTTCTCTGCTTCAGCGGGTCCCATCTTCATAAGCAATAGGTCTCTTCTGATGGCAATTTCACCTGAATAAGCTGTAAAGAAGCAGACACGTAACAAATTCCTGTGATTCTATTCAAATAAAATATTATATTAGTTTTTCTTGATTTAAATAGCTTAAACAAGGAAAAACTAAACAGAAACCCCAAGTTCTTAATCTGTTTAATTCTGTACAAGTTACTCAGAAGAGCATCTGTTTTCATTAGCTAGACTTTGATCTCAGATTTTATTCATGCTATTTAACAGGATGAAATTCCGCTCATTAATATGTTTTGAAAATTAACTGGTTTACTAATAATAGGACTTTGTTTCCTCCAAACTCTTTGATTCTTTAACAAGGTTAAAATAGCAATATATCCCAAAGTGAAATAATCATTTGAGAGAGTTTGAGTTTTTTTCTATTCCTTGTTTGTGTTTATCTCTAGAGACTTATTAAATAATACGCTGAAGTGCAGCTGTCAAGTCCTTCATGAAGAAAATGGGTCAAAGACCATTTCATGTGGCTGTGTATGTCCAATTCTGTTGCTGTTACTCTGCAAATTATTTTTCTGCAAGTAATCTTTGCAAAATTGTGTGGTTTGCTACTTATTATTTCCTTTTCAAAATACTTTTGTAAGAGCCCATTAGTGTTACCAATTTTTTTTAAAAAGTAAAAAGACTTAGAAAAGCAACAGTAATATGCATGTGTAGATATATAAACATAGTCATCTTAGTACATATGAAACAGTTTATACTGTTCAGAACTTAATAAAATGTGACACCTGCTCTGTTCAACTGTAACACTATTTATTTTGAGGAAATGTGTATGCAAATAAATGGTTTCCTCTTTACCTGTGCAAGTTTCTTGGTCTTTTGGCTTTGTCTAGCTTTGTATTATCTGATCAAGACTGGTAGATATGTACCTTATGCAGAGTAGGTCTGCAAGGCTCTAGTTTCTACAACTCATCTGATTTGCCCAAGATTTAATTGAATTGTCCTTGAATGTGATAATTAACATTTAATATATCTTAAAGACACTCTTGTCACCCACTGACTGATTAAAATAGTAATGTACTGTGTGTGGTAGGATACTAGTGCACTTTTTTTTAAGTGAAAAAATTGGTCATTTCATACCTCTGGGTTGTTTCACATAGGAAATATTATTAATTACTTGCTAGTGAGACCCTAGTTCATTACAATAATTCAGAATAAATTACAAGAATAATTGGTTTAAATCATTAGTAGATTTGGCAAGCAAATAGGTATTAACATCCTAGTTATCAGCATTACATCACTCAGATTCTGCTTTAGTCTTTCATTTCATCCACACTAAACTTAAGCCACATTTTACCTACAAAAATATTGATATTAATTCCTATAGACAACTGGGATTGCTCTTCTCTGTCTTTCTGGTCTTCTGAGAACAGTGTACTAAATCATACAAATATTATTGAGTGATTTCTGTGAGAGGCACCGGGCATGCTCCTGATGGAGTGGGTCCACTGGAAATGGTTTTCCCATCAGTAGAAGATGATTTCTAAGTGTTGTTGCAATCTCAGTAATGGGAAACACGCTCCTGGAGGCCTGTCAACAGCTCTGACTGCTGTCAGTGGACTCTCCTGCGTCACACATGGTGGAATATGATGAAATTCAGCATCTTTGCCTAATGCTCTACCAGCTGCAAGACTGACAAGTGTTGCGTGATGAACATGGGTCACTTAAGAAAAAACAATACGGCCCAAAAATGCTAATAAATTTGGATTGGCTTCTTTTTTGGGTCACTTGTGTCCCTTGTATTTTGCCTTCTAGTGCAAAATGTGCCTTTTTTTCCCCACACTGGCTCTGTGCAATGATGGAAGTGCAATAAATTGAAGATAAAACTGGTGAAGATTTGAAAGGGGTTAAGAAAGATGGAATGAGTGGCAAGAAGATGGGAAAAAAGAACAGCTTGCAAGCACAAGTAGGGGAAGTCTTTATAACTGTTGCTATATAAAAAGAGTAAGGGACACTGCACTCATGCCTGCACATGCAAAACACCCCAGCAGTGTCATTTGCAGGACTTGTAAGACTTAGTAGTTGTAAATTTGCAAGTAAATTTTGTTGTAGAAGCTGCGTACAAGGCAGAGAGCTCCACTTTCACACCACTGATTCCAGTTGCCTGCATGGGCCAAAGTAGGATGTCACTCCTGTGGTGACTGCTTCCAAGCAACCAAAAAAAAAAAGCTCCTAAACGTATGTTTTTCTGATACTTTTATCAGTTTGACCCATAAACGATTGCTATATAATTAGCTGCAGAAGAAATTTGGTTTTATTTGCTTGAATAGAGGACTTTCACTTTTATCTATCATGGTCAACATATTGCACAAGGTCTTCGTGGTTGTGACAAGAATTAAATACTGAAGCAGGAGACAGGAACAATGGTTTCAGTAAAGAAAAGGCTGGAGTGATGCTGCTTAGTAGGCATGCTAAAGCCTGCTACCATACAAATCTCCTTTTTAAAACACGTTAAAATGAGCATTTCTGGGAAGGAAATTTAAAGGTTTTAAGTTAGTAAGGTTTTGTTGTTCAGGCTCGCAAGGCAGGAAAATATACATATTAATATTTCTGAAGTTCTTGTGTAGATATGAGAAATGTTAACT